CCCCCCCAGCGGCTTGTTCTGGAACTGAAGGAGCGGTTGTTGAAAAATCTTCGAAGGAAGATAACTCAAGAACAGCTTGACGGATGTAGGTGGCTGAAGTGATGTAATTGACATAATCGGATGACAATGCATTAAGCAAACCAGGAGCCAATTTGCATACTGGACATACTATACATCTGCTTCGTTCGATAATAGGACTATAAAATACTTGTCACATGTAATTGAGAAAGAGAAAAAACATTTGAGGGTATAGATTATGTAAATGAAGACCTAATTTGCATAATTAATGGCAAATAGCTATAATTTCATAGTAGTAACAGCTGGGAATTTCATACTTGCCGCATTTGGAAATTAAGTGAAGGTGAACTCAATAAACATAATCTATTCAAATCATGACCTCATTTGCATAATTTATGAGGAAGTGCTATACGTGTAATACGATTAAGAACAAGTTACAGTCTGTGACCTGAATGATTCAAGTTCATCTGCAAATATTACAAAAAATGCTCTTGTTAGAGTGGTCCCATTATTGCTCATTTTAAAGACCTTTGAGTTACGATAATGAAATTAAACACAAACTTACTAAAACTTACTACTTCTCTTGTTTTGTCTAACAGTCGCCCTGACTAATAGTATATATAGAGCGGATATCAACATCGCTCTAAGGAAGCCGGCGAGCCAGAATTCCGTTAAATACGGCGGTGTTGCTGGACGTGCCGTGGACGGGAACACCAATACTAATTACTCTGTTCACTCCTGTACACTCACTCTGTTCACATACAACGCCAGCTGGCGGGTGGATCTGGGGAAATCGTTCACTATCAACAGGTACGTGTAAGTCATCGTGTTTTTGAAAAGGAAACATAACCCTTCCTAAGATTACAATGTTAGACCACTGCCAAGTTTAGTTGGAGATTATATTCGACTGATCGCTCTTTCCCCCAGATCTGCTCCTTTCCTTATTCATTTAAAAAAAATAAAGAAACTTAACTCCTAAAGGAAGCATTTTAGTTTTTTTAATAAATGTATTATGATACTTATCTTGATAACAAAATAATTCTACTGATCTGTCACAGTTACGATGTGAAACATGACCTTCAGCACATAAAATCAACGATTATATGTGCGAGCACACCCTAAATTGAAGTCTCTCTCCGGTAATAATTATGAAGCAATAAACTGTGTAGGGAAATGAAGGATGTACCTCTAGATATAATGTTTCAGTTACTTCTATTTCTCTTAGGTAATCTGCTCAGTAGCTGTGAAGCTGGGTATTGGTTTTTCGATGTGAAATACAGGTCTTGGGATGACGTATCTTTAGTGTACCTTGTTTGTGCGAACATTGAAAACTAACTCGTGTCCGAACTTGAAACGCGGCAGGAAAGCAAGAGAATGACGTCATCATTTTCATTCAAGTCTTCTTCTCAATCCAGGACCTACTATTACAGTCAATCGTACAAAACGATTTCTAAAGTGTTTCAAAGATGACCCTCAGTATTTACTCTTTGTGACCCTCCCCCCCCCCTTTTTTGCCGTGCACTGTCACGGGATAATGGGCTGTGTACCATATAGCTGGTGATGTGTACAAAACTCTTATGTAACTGCTCTTATATTAACACTGTCTACAGGGTGGTCATCTTCAACCGTCAGGACTGTTGTTCGGGACGACTCAACCCCTTCAACATCCACATCGGGGATTCCGAGCAGGTCGTCACGAACCCCAAGTGTGGCGGTGATCACCGAATCGACGTGACCCTGCCGTCCATTACTGTCCTGTGCCAGGGGATGACGGGACGGTACGTCGGGGTTCGTCTTCCCGGATACGGATACGGCCGGACCCAGAGCCTATGCGAGGTCCAAGTCTTTTCAAATTCAGGTATGCATTTGTTACATTTATACATGGTAACGTAATGATATTTGCTTTAATTGAAAATTACAACATTGCTCTCGGCACTGGTCTAGTAGGTGAAGGCCTGGTCCCGCGAAGAATGGAGCAATTTTAGGTAAATTTAGATAATTATGTATTCCTGCTTTTCAGAGGGAACCGGCCGGTACATGTACATCGACACCGCCGCACAAGTTGCCGGTGACAGGGCCCGGCTGTACAGTCCTACGGTCACCACCGCCTGTACACAGTACCTGCGCTTCTGGTACCACATGTACGGCACAATGAACACGCTGAACGTGTATGTACGGACGGACACGTCTCCTCCAACCGATCCTGTCTTTACCGGGACAGGCGGGTATGGGAACCAGTGGCTTGAAGCTGAAGTAGAGATCGGCATCACTGGCAGTTACCATGTAGGTTCGACTTTCTCAAGAATAAGGTGGTTCAAAAATAAGAGCTTGAGTAGCAATCATGCATTGTGGGTAATATGTCAAAGGAATTATAAAGCATGTTCTCATGTGTTTTCTTTATATTTGGGGGGCCTTTACCTTTAAAGTTAACACAGGGCATGCGCACTGGTATTAGTGAACCAACTAGTTCTACATAACTATAAATCTCCTTTGGCCAGGACAATTTTTGTACCAAAGAACCAGAGCTACGGTGATGTGATTGTTGTAATATTAAAATAAACAAGAAGCAGGGTCCATTCTGATGAAGTAATTTGGACATGCAATTAAACAAAGAAAGCTACTCCTACACACTCGAGCTTTCGTTCTTGCAGATTAAACAAAATCAATTATGATAGCTCTGGTTCGTGTCGGTGGTAGGAAAAAAGGTTATGCATGGATCATGGACTAAATCAAAATACTGCCACTGTTGTCTTTATTTTGAAAAAAAGTGGTTAAGAACCTTTTCTATTCGCACGCTCGCGTCAATTTTGAGATGATCAGAGGATGGCATCCATATGACGTTAGATCGATGACGGAGATTTCCATGCTTTAGGTGGTGATGGAGGCAATCAGGGGGGCAGGCGTTGAGGGAGACATTGCTCTGGATAACATCACTATGGCAACGGGCCATTGTACCACAGGTATTTTTGGTTTATTTTTGATAATATCAGAAAGGTTCTCTACAAATTGGTTTAATAGATATCTGCTCCCAGTGCGCCCTTGGAATATGTGGCTTAATATTGTCAACTTCTATGTTTTCAATTTTTTTCTAGGTGCCTGCCACAGTAGACCGTGTAAAAACTACGGGACTTGTGTCGAAGATGCAAGCATTGCAACAGGATACACCTGCCTCTGTATGAATGGATGGGAAGGGGAAAACTGTACCCAGGGTACGTGAAGTACCCTGTACAAGATGGCTACTGGCTTAACATTATATTCTGGCCTACTCTTTATTACCTTATTATCTTAGAAGGTTGATCGAAGTGTATCAAGGGATATCCTTCACAGAAATTGCTTAGAAAAGACAAAACATAGAAAAAACTTGATGAGTTTACATGCATTTAACAAGGAAGGATGACATTTATTATGTTTTAAAGAATTTTACTGACTAGCTGAAAAACTAGCTCTGATGCTTGGTTGTTTTTATTGTTATTAGTACATTTTTATGGAAATTATCGTACTTGTATTGCGTTTATTGTATTAATGCCATGTTTCCTGTGCTTACAGATGTAGATGAGTGTCAGAGCAGTCCTTGTGGACCTGGTACCTGCCATGACCGGCTCAACGGTTATCTGTGTCAGTGTCCCTGGCGCTACAATGGTAGCCACTGCGAAAAACCAGGTAGTGGGTGGTTATTTTCAACGCTTCGTTCGAGACTGATCCCATAGCCCCGCCTCCATACATCTCCGTGTAGCCTCGCTCTCATTGGTCGAACCGCTGATTGCTATGCTATCATTGGTTGAACTGCTAAATTGTGTTTAGCTGCCAGTATCAGTCTATCATGTACTAAATCACAAATCTCTCCCACTGGTCGGGCTCCCAGATCTTACCTTTGTGGCCCTAACGCTTGAAAGTCAGGAGAATCTGGCATTAACATGGGCCGTGCCAGCATTGTTGGGTACCTTGGTTTTTGGAAGCTGTAATGACTGGTTACCAAGTTGATAGCGACAATCCTGTGCTCCTATTGCTATTTCTGCCTTCTAAACGGACTGTATCTGTCCCCTATAACCATCTTGATCTGTATTTGTGTAACAGCCCTTCGGTGTAACACACCAGCTTCGCCGGCACGCGACTATATTACACTGGTAGCCTTCCTTACTCTTCCCCACACCCCCCTGGTAGCCTTCCTTACTCTTCCCCACACCCCACTCGTAGCCTTCCTTACTCTTCCCCACACCCCACTCGTAGCCTTCCTTACTCTTCCCCACACCCCACTCGTAGCCTTCCTTACTCTTCCCCACACCCCACTCGTAGCCTTCCTTACTCTTCCCCACACCCTACTCGTAGCCTTCCTTACTCTTCCCCACACAGCATTCGAACATTAACCCTGTACCGATTCGAGAACACAACGATTCATAATATATGTTTTATAGATTTAGATTTGCCAGTCAACTGCTCGAAGCTTGCCGTCTGCGAGCACACCGTGCCAGAATCCGAGAACACCATGGACAGCTGTAGGGTGGAGACCTCCATGGTGGAAGGGATTCGGGGGTATGTATCATCTAAAACATACCTGTTATATCCAGAACCATGCTTTATCCAGAACCGTACTCATGCACAGTTATGTGGATAGTTCATGCGTATTCAGAACCATGTCTAAGTTATTGGATACGAGGAGACCATCCAGAACCGTGCCTGATCAGAGGTAGATAGGCACGGTTCTGGATACGATAGTACCGGTACCTTTGTGTAGTGAAACTACCTTGATGTATTCTTTACAAATGAATTATTGTCAACTTTGTTGATTTTGACTTATGTGTATTTAAATGATAAGGATCTCGATAAGTTTATATGAATATGTTTTGCCTGGTCCTCAGAATAAAATACTACTTGATCCCCGGAGAAATAGAGGTTGCGGTTATTCATGTAACCTCATTTCCTTCTTACTAATGAATTTATGTGTGGATTGTACAAGCGTAGTAACTAGTAACTAGTTAGTAGTCTTTTACCTCACCTTACACTTTTGAATGGCTTAGAGTCGACGTGAAGTTTGTACTACCTTAGCTGTTATAGTCTTACACAACACTTTAATTAGTTACCAGTCTTATATAACACTTTGCCTTACACTGTATCTGCTACAATTGTTGTGAATAAACATTTACATGAATTAGCTACCATTTAAAACAGGTATGACAGACGCATTCGCCTCGTCTATCGCACAAATAACGTCCTTCACGGCGAGGGCAACCTGACGGGTTGCCCTGACGGTAACATCACCGGGTACCGATGGGACGTTTTCGTAGAAGTGATAAGTGCCGGAAAAGCCGTACACGAACTAAAAAATCTGAACCTGGTGTCTAACGAAGAGGATTTGGTGATACCCAGCCAGTCACTACAGCCTTCGAAGTACATGATTCAGGTATGTGCCAAAACATTTGTTGTCGCGTTTTGTTGGGTGTTTCTGTACCCAGCAATGACAACTGACAACACCACGTTCATGTGTTGACTGTACGTCTCTGTAGGATACCATATTGTTCAAGAATTTAAAATATTGGCGTCGACGTTGTGAACATTATGGGTCATGCACTCTGGGGGTTTGGAATCTCATATTTCTTGTTTAGCTATGATGTCAAACTGTGTACGCACATCTGGCTAGCTTAAAGTGGTTTGTTGACTGTTATTTTTATAACGTCAAATTTATTTAGTTTCAGGTCACCGTACGTATACCAGACAACTCAACTGACGTGAAAGTATATTCCGTGGCACAAACGTGGATCGAAGTGGTTGCCATGCCGTTAGTGGTAACGCTAGGGCCGTCGCTTGTCACCCGTTACGCTGACGATGACCTCTGGGTGAGCGCCGAAGGTTCGTGGGACCCAGAAGGCTTAACCGACCCGTCCGTGTGGAACTACAGGTGGACATGCAACCAGACACATGGTGGTGAGTCTGACAGTCTCGTTTCTCTCGTACACAGGCTATCCAAATCAGAGGTCTTAGTTACAATATCATCTGTGTTTTTTTAGTCTGACATCTTCACGAACAATCATAAGTACATGCATATAGTTAATCTTATTTTTGGCTAATACAGATTCTTTGATAAACGATTAACCAAAAATATGTTCAGGTAACGATTTTTATGGCAATAGCAGACCATTTAGCTTGGTTTTCTTATATGCAGAGCAGATATGTACAGCCTAGTCTGCTTTTCATTGTTTGAAAGTTACGAGAGTCAGCAAATCGCATAAGTCTAAGCTGGTACTAAACTGGGGATAATATATTTTATGACATATACATCCTTTCTTCGTTTTGACAGGAGTTGTTGAAGACTGTGCTACACGGGAGTTAGACAGTCGACCAGGAGTTCTGTACGTCGTCAACAGTCGGCCATCGATGACGACATTCACGGTCACGGTCACGGTCGTGGCCTCTTCTCCAGGGAGAGGTGAAGTCGCCGCCTCTCAGACGGTGGTCCTCCATGACAACCCGGCTTGTCAATTATCTATCACGTGAGTAAACCCCTCCTCCCAGTGATACTCATTTGTCATTGACAAGTAGTACTTCCTTATGCTAGTGTCACATGTGTCACATTTCCAAATCGGGGCCCGACCGAGCTGTTCACGTGAATGAAAAACACATGTAAAGAATATACACAAAATGGTACTCGTGACTTTTCCGTTTCTTTGTGTGTGTTTTGATGTCATTTATACTATTGTTGTAGTTTTGTCCCCGCAACTGGCCTGGCCGAGCTAGTCTACGGCTTGGAATTAAGATCTTAGCATTACATAGTCGCATGTCCACTTACAGCATACATATTATAATGTCTTCAGTGTCATGTATATATGTCACTGTATATGTGTATTACAACAGGTTGCAGCGAGTATATATACTATACGTATAATATTGTACGTTTTGCCGAAGTGTTGTTAGTTCCCATTCTGGTTACAGGTGTACCGGGAACTGTGACCACACCAGACTGGACCCGGCGCTCCCTCTCCAGCTCCAGGCTGTCCCTGGACCAGACGCAGCAGCGATGTACCAGTGGTCGGTTGTCAGGTCTAAGGATGGCTCTGCGAGCTTACCAAACACTGTAGAGTTGACCCAAGAAACGCTTCATGTGGAAGCGGGCGTGTTAGAAGTAGGTATACCGTTACTGTATTATGTTTTGCCTATTTTCTAGTTTTGCACGTCCAAATACTTCCCATAGCAATGTATAGCAAACGCAGCGCTCATCTTCTTTTCTACATGCCATCCTGGTTAGTTTACGTAAGCTCCCACAGTCACTACCGACGTAAACTACTAGTAACCAGAATGGTACCCATGCTAGCTTCTTTAGGCCTTGGGCCACACAGCTGTGCAGACTGCGCAATTTAATACAGCAGGGGACTAGTCCATTCATAGCGCTGTATGTTCAACTTCCATACTGTGTCCCGTAAGCAGAGAATTCTAGAAGCATTATGTGCCATTTTAAAAGTCTCTAGCTTTGGTATGACTAAGTCGGGAAGAAAACTCTGCAAAGTACTCTGCTCACTGCCATGGAAGTTGTTTTGGGCACAAGTATGTTAATTGGTTACTGTGGCAGATCTAATAGCAGATGTAAAATGACTACATGCTTTTTTTAGATTTATATGTCTTGCAACCTATTTTTTTGTATTCTTTTCAGGCTGGAGAAAGCTACACCGTACGCTCAGTCAACCGCATCCAAGATTGCGGGAATGACATCGTCGAGTCCACATGGACATTTGTAGTGAGACCAGGTGTCCACCTTGGCAACGACGTCACCAACTGTACCATCCACCGTGTCGACACGGCTGGATGCGTTTGCTGCGCAGGTGAGTAGTAAAACACAATCACACATAATTCTTTTATGGATATTTGTCATTAAACTTGTTTGGTTACTGCACATTACAGTTATACTATGATTTAGTTGGGCTTCGCTCTTTGATGCATGCAAGCAGCAACCAATTCAAAACCTACTCATTTTTTGCGTAGGAGTTCATGATATTATATTATTGTGATGTTAGGAGAAATACCTTTCAGTAGTTTATAATAAAGATATCTTGTTCTACTTTGAACAATTTTTGGACTGAATCTTTTTAACGAAAGATGATAAGATTGGTGTGTAGTTGCTCCAGTAATACTTTTTTGTGAATGTGTTCAAATTGCTGTTTGCTATCGGGGGCGATATCAACTTCCAACGAACTTCGATCCATTAGTGACGTCAAGCGTACAGAAACCGATGACGAAGACGAAGTGATTTGGTGGAAAAATTGGTAATTCTCGGAGTCCGAGAACAGTTTAAAGTTTCTCATATTGTTTGCTATCTGTCTGTTGCAGCAGTCAACGACGAACTCGGCCCAGTGACTTACAAGTTTCGCATTGCACCGCCGTACGAGAAAGACAGAGGCAAAGTACAGTTTCCACCTAAAACAGACTTCATGGTGGCGACAATGCTACTAACACCTTATCACACAATGGTACGAACACTCTTAAACTTGAAACAATGCGGTGTCGGATGATAATGTCTAATAGATTATGTAGGCTCAGTCCTCAACTATTCAATGATCTTCCCCCTAAAATGACCTCTTAGCTTTATTAGTGTTCAACTTGGTAGAACCAATAACGAAGAAGAACATTTAACTGCAATTTCTAACCCAAATTTTGGACTGCACAAAAAAGGACAAGACCAATCAAAGAATGAATCCAATATTAGCTTTGGACATTTAACTGTATGAATCTTACAGATTGGGCACATATATTGAAATAGCAATGCAAACTAATGATGCGAAATTATGATTTATTTTGTATTTTTTAATTTTTTTTTAAGATTCCAAGGTACTGCTCAGACGGCATACCAGAGGACGACATCATCGTTGGACTTTGGGTCTCAGGAACTGACGGACGTTTACTGGTACATGCGAACATCACAGAAAAGTCGGTAAGTATACTGCCTCACTTAGAAGCACATGAATCCTAGCAGCAACTTAAAAAATGCCACAATGTAAGTCAACCTGGTCTTGATGCAAAGGGCATCCATTTCAAACTAGTGGAAGTTATTTTCCAACAAATTAGACTATTTCTGACTAACAGCAAAACAAATTAGACTATTTCTGACTAACAGCAAAACTTATTTATGGCGCTTTTGCGTAAGAGGCATACATCGTTTTTTTGTTTGTTTTCGTCTGCGACAGGGCGACAAAGTAGCGCTACCTGACGACGTCATAGAGAAACTCTCCGGCGCTGAGATGAAAGACATGGGCACGATTCAAGACGTCGCGACTCTTGTCACCCTAACTTCCGCCAAGAAGCTGCCTTTATCATCTAAGGTATACCAGACCTGATATTTAATAACGCTTTATCTGCTTTGAAGCTAGGACAAAATCTAATTGTTTTATTTTGGATTCCATGATATAATCTGTACTTCTTTGATACATGTAATTGATTTTTGATACTGATTGGAAATAGATATATTACACTTACACTAATGATTTCTTAGCTGAAGTGTCTAACATTGCACATACCTTGGCTTATGTCAGGCTACGGCCGCAAAGACACTTCAGGCATCTGCAAACGCATTGAAGACAATGTTAGAATCTGGATCATCTAATGACAGCATGTCAGTGGCAGACATAAATCTTGCCACATGTACAATGTTTACAGGTATGTACTATATTCATGCTGTCTTGCGATCCGTTCTGCCAATTTTGTGGCTATTTGTGTGGCTTGTTCTGTAGTTGTTGGACTTAGTTCTCTCAGATTCTAAGTCTCTTTAATCTTCAATAGGAATGACCCATATGATGGAGGAATCATCGAACGTGTCCCAAAATGTCGAGCTGGTAAGTCCAAAAGATGACTACTTGTTTGTGTAAATAATCCACGTTAACATTCATACATTCAAAGACACCTTCTTGTATCAAACACTGAACATGCTCTGCAATGACTATGTAGGTTTATTTGCAGAAATGACATAGACCGATACCTGTGCATGTACAATGTACGCACTGCCATAACATTGACCATATCTTGTTCAGGTCAACCAGATTGTCGGCGCCGTGTACAATACAATCGACGCCATCGCAGAAACGTATGACATCCTCATGACCAATGAGAGTCAAGGAGCAACGGCCATTTTTGAAATGCCAAAGCTTCAGTTAAAAGTAGAGAAAGGAGGGTGTCAAGATGAGCAAAGGAAGATACTTGTGGTAGAAGATTTGGTCGTGGTAACTCCGCCATTCCGTAACCTGTCCTCTGGCTGCGGTGAAGACGATGCTGTAGGTCTTGTGGTAAGTGAAGTATTATCTTATCATGTCCTGATGATGGTAGTTTCCTTTATCTATATATAAGGCTTCTCTTTCCTTTTGACAGGTTATCAATAATTATCCACTGGACTGAATGACAATTTTCAGTCAATTGCAAAACCTGTTTGTAATCCACGAGCAGTCAGTCATTAAAATGGTTGGTTAAAATAAATGTCTGTAGCTAATTTACTTGCAAAAAGCGTATTGTACACACCCCAGCTCCAACATGGTGTTAACGTCTAGGGTAGTACTTGTCATCCTCGAATTCACCATGATAGAAATGCTTTTTCCAGCTGACGGAGGCCAACTTCAACCCTTTCCAATACGCGGGCAATTCACAAGAGATCCGATCCGAGGTTGTGAGTATGACGGTCCGCGTGGGCAGAGAGATCCGACCCATCCACAATCTAACCGACCCCTTCGACATGATCATCCGCCGGGATGACCGGGACGTGGCCAGCACCATGTTCACTCACGCCGGCAGGATTCAATCCGATAGCGACATTGCTGTAAGTTCGTTTGGCTTGTTCCGTTTACCTATTTTTTTATATTCCAACAGGTAATTACAAGACGTGGTGGGGACACACTGAAGTTTTTTCACCTTATACTAATGCTGACACCAACTCAGGTGGCATGTCAGGACTCGAACCCAGGTGGCATTGTCAGGACTCGAACTCGGGACCTCTTGGTTACGAATCAAGCACTCGTTACCGTTACCCCACGCGACCCCAAGCGTTTATCTTTCAATTGGCAATGCAGTTGAACGTGAGAGAAAGAGGACTATGAAAAGATATCTCTTAGGACAAACTTCTGTTTTGTATCACATCCCGCTTCTTTCTAACGTGTCACCATTCCTGTTTTTTACCTACAGGTTGCAGAGTTCCGGCCGCAGAAGTCCGGAACTGCCCTAAGCATCTACCTGGACCTTGAGCAAACTCCAGAAGCACGAGATGTTCGTCTGCTTCTGCGGAACGAATCGTCAGGTTCGATTCCAGAAAACTATGACAACGTCAGCCTCACAACAGTTCTGCCCGTGCCACAGCATCAGCTGTTCACACTACCTTCGCTGTACAACGTTAACGGCACGGAGGTCAACCTAACGGCCAGTCCCTACTCCTGGCTGGTCCTCCCTGAACAGGGACCTATAATGGACTACCAGAACTCGACCAATACTTCCTATTTCTTATGTACGTTTCAGATTCCTGACTCTGTTACTTTTTTATCATTTTTCTTTTGAAAGTAGAGTAATGGGCCATGTTGTTATAGATATGGATATGTCAAGATAAATTCTATGCCTCATTGGAGCAACTGAACAAGGTAATTATTGCTTAGCAAAAACATACTCCTACAATAGACCAAGAACATTATATATAATGTCCTAAGCTTTAGATGCGGGGTACTGTGTGGAGCTTAGCTTGAATCAACATCATAACCATGACACCTGGTATGTGGCGCATGCGTGTTCTACATCCGTTGCCATGATTTTCTTCTATACACACATCATGCCACACGTCATCCAGCATTTGTCACGTGATGTGAAGCAAGTCAAAGCAACAAATATAATAGATAAGTCATATTCAACTCTTTTCCATACAGACATACTCCATGATACCAAGAATGCCATCTCCAGAGTCACGGTGACGAGCAAGTTTACAGTCAGCATACTGGAGACTGCCTGCGTGTACTTTGGAGAAGAGTCACAGCAATGGCAAAGTGATGGGTGCAAGGTAGATATTATCATCTAAAAATGTGTATTCTTTATTTTTTTGAAAATGGTTGATAGCGCGTCTTGGTAGAAATATTACTACCCATGAAATATATTCTTTTTTTTCTGAATCCTACTAGGTGGGTCCACTGTCGAATACCACCCACATCCACTGCCAATGTGACCACCTGACCAAGTTTGCCGGATTTGTCCCCCCAAACCCGCTGAGATTTGACAAAGTGTTCAGCGCCAGTATTGCTGACAACCCCGTTGGGCTCATTGCCGTTCTCGCCGTGTTTGGACTGTTTGTCACAGGCTGCCTATTGGCGAGGAAGGCCGATAGAGCAGACCTGCAGAAGGTAACGATGTTTTAGTTACTTACTTACACCTTGCAAATGTCTCGATGACTTTAGGATCAGGATCGATCTGTATTTCTGGGACGGAAATATTGTTTTCGGACTTGTTAATTGATAGTTTGTTTGTGTGTGTGCGTGTGTGTGTTTATGTGTGCGTTTCGTGTCAGGTATGCCTTTAGGGTCATGATGGGATTCAAGGGTGGTCGGGAATGTGATAGGTCGAAAGTTTAACTGATTATTCAATCATTGCGGCAAGTTATAAAGTCATAAATAATGGTATTGATGGTAATTGTATGATGTAATTCAATCGAGTAGTTTCCTCTGATACATGTCCAAAACATTCAAGGATACACAAAACAGTCCCGGAAGTCCAAAATCATCAATTTCTTGTTTGAATTAAGTTATGGAGTAATCTGTGTCTACCGTTTACAAGGTAGAGTTCATTATGGCAACTTACATACTACATAATTGTCATTTTCAGGTTGGTGTGACCATACCGGCTGGTCTGCAACTGAACTCTGACACAAACAAACATTACGTCATAACGATCTACACGGGGTACAGGGCAGGCGCTGGAACTACTGCACAGGTACATGGCAGCTTCAAATGTATTTGGTAATGTAAATTGCCAGCTGCACACAACAAACACATTTTCACCATATGTTTGCAAAAAGTTGATGACAACATATTTTGTCTTATAAAATACTGTAAAATGTTTTCATCGAGCAAGAAATCACATGCTCCATAAAAACACCAAAACTCTTTTCAGTGAAAGGCGTTGTCAGTACAATGTTTACTTCTATCCAAGCTGTTAGGAACAAATTCAACAGTAACTGTTCATTTTAATCTTTGAAATTTGTTCACGGTATTATCTTGGCCTTCATTTTTGACATCCCTAGATCCCGTTACCTGACAGTTTTATAATCCAAAGGACAACCTTTAAGTAAAGAAAATATCTCTATTGACTTAGTGTGGCGATGAGACCAAATGTATTTACTGTAGTATCACTGTAACTGTACTTAGAACTTTATCATTATGATTTGTACTTAGCTTGTAAGGTAACAAACGTACAATAATATTACAGAACTTTTAAGTTAAAACATGACGTACAATGTTGCAAAATGATGTTTTTCTATAATTCTGTCCGCAGGTTTCCATCGTCCTGTTCGGTTTTCTGGATGAGAGCGAGCCCCTACACCTGTGTGACGACAGGCGGGTTCTGTTTGAGAGCGGCAGCGAGGATTCGTTCCTGGTGTCCACAGACAGACGCCTGGGCCCGCTGACACACGTCCACATCTGGCACAACAACGCTGGCTTCAGCCCTGGATGGTAAATAATTAACACAGCTTGTCTTACTTAGATCTAATCTCTAAGCAGATCCCTTTCGGTGACAGGACAGTATCCATTAGCCAGAGCAGTTTGCACGGCCACCGAAATTCCTATGAACCCCTCTGGCCACTGGCCACTCTGTCTTGCCACCATATGATGTGCTTGGAGATTACTTAGATCCACGTATGGGAAGAAGAAGAAGATATCCTGCCTGTGCCTAGTGGCCCACCGGGATCAAGCTTTCTCTACATGTATTCATGGTAGTTTTGCATGGATACTGCCATGCCACCATATGATCTGCTTGGAGATTACTTAGATCCTCCTTTACCTAGTGGCCCACGGGGGATCAAGCTTTTACTACATGTACTCATGGTAGTTTTAGTTTTGCATTTCTATGAGCAATACTTTACGGTACGTGACAGAGGATCCCAGCATTGATAATGCATTCTAACTCAATAGCGTGTTTCACCATGTTGCAGGTTCCTTAGCCGGATCGTGGTGAAGCACGTGCGTTCAGGTCGCCAAGAATACTTCATTTGCAACAAGTAAGTAGTAAAGATACATTTGTGTACACTTCCTTATTAGTCATCAACTTAAGCTAATTATCTTCACCGCCCTTCTTCATCCATAAATGTATAGAGAGATTGCTAGCGCTATTCTAAATGGATAGCCCTTATTAGCTGCCTATTGCATAGAAAGCAACTCCAGGTATTCAGAGCAGGACAGAAGTTTAAAATTGTCACCTTTTTCTCCACTTTTAGGTGGCTAGCACTCGAAGAGGACGACGGCAGAATCAACCGCATGATTTTTGTCGCAAGCCCAGAAGAGATGGCCAGCCTATCAAACCTGATAATAGACAGGGTGTCAAAGTTGGTATTGTGTACTATTAGTATATATACATGCATAGGCATTTTGATAACGTTCATTTATCAAAACACCCATATATTTATATACTCTGACTACAAGAACTGACCTTGAAACCTGAAAAGGTGTTTGAGCTACCAAACCAGCGACACTGATTTCCAGGCCAGTCACAAACCATGAAAGAAGGACTTTCAGCCTTTTATAACTTGTGCCATAGCGATGGGAACTGCCATTCAGGATAGTGAATTAAAAGAGAATTCGTCATCTCACCTTCAGTATATATTGCTTGTAGCGTTTCCGTTTTGTTGCAAAATCACAATTTGATCTTGCCAACTACAACCTTACACGCTCCTTACAAACTTAGACCCAGCAAAAATGTGATTCCGATTCCGATTTCAGTCCTGAAATAACAGGGTCGGTAGGTGGGAATTCCTTTTTTTCGGCTGAAGTGCAGCTGTTTTAAGAAGAAAAACTGAAATCAAGACTGTGGCTGCCCCTGTTTAATCATTATAAAGTTACTTTTAAAAATGCGTGAAATAACGTTTCCTAGTGTTTCAATTTTGGTCAGAAGTCGGCTAGGGTGGGCCGGTTTTAGTACAAACTGTGGAAACCAGAAATTTTTAAGGGCTTTAAGAATGAATCTTACTACATTTACAGAGATGCCAATGATGGACACCTTTACTACTCTATGATCGGCCGCCCCGCCCGGAGCAGCTTCACCCGTGTGCAGCGCCTGACGTGCTGCATGTGCACGGTGTACTGCGCCATGGTCACCAACATCATGTTCTTCGGGCAGGGAGACAAGTTCGACCCGCCTGAACCTGTCAGGTTCATGGGTGTGGAGTTCCAACTTCCGATCAGCCTACCTGAGGTGAATGGTTTTGTTTTATCCGTATTTCATAATGATTAAATGTTTATGGGTAACTTTAAACTCAAAGAATTGCCAATTTAAAATTTTCAACCGTTGGAACGCTAGGTTAAGTTGTTTGTTGGATGGGGGGACGGTTAGCTGGTTTTATTTCATGCACAGGTTTGTTGTCGTTAGTTGATTGCTTCATCATTTTATTGGTTGGTTAGTACATTTGTACATAGTAGACTGTTTTGGATTAACTACTTTTTGGCTGCTTTAGGTTGGTTAATTTGTCGGTTAGTTTATTGGTTGGTTGCTAGGTACATTGTTAGAGTGAACAGCAAACAAAATAATGACATAATTTCATCTGTCCCACCCAGATAATGATCGGCGTTCAAAGCGCCGCAATGATCCTACCGGTGACGTCAGCCATCGTGTTCCTGTACAGGAACGCGTCACCTCGGCCGCCGAAGGCCTCACCAAAAGCACTGACAGAGCCACACGGTACGCTGCTTCATCCCTTTAAAACTATGTCTCATTTTGGTCACAGATACAAACTAAGGAAGGTCGATGTTACAGTACCTAATTTTACGTGCATCTGCAATTTGTTGTTTAGGAGCAATATTCGCATGGCGTAATCAGTAATCAGAGCGGATGGCACAGAACCAAGAGGTCCCGGGTTTGATCCCTGACATGCCCAATGTTCTGCCCTTGGGAAAAGCCCTTAACATGACTTTAGTCACTGCACGGTAGGGTGACGCCCAACGGGCCTCTCGACTAATCTATATCAAGTCAGTATCCTAACATGATGAGGGTGAGGGCACACACGGATTGGGTGTCGTCAATGCAAGAGCTGCACATTTGCCAGTAACACCATATTTTTGTCTTTGTAGTGGTTTATCGTGGTGGAAGGACCAGCACCACTGTGAGCCATCAGGCAACAGACATCACACCTGACGACCGACCACCCGTCAGCACGCCGTCCGACCCCGTGAGAGCAGGTGCAGTCGCCCTGCCGTCCGGCCTGACCGAGCGGCGCCATGCCGTCCGCCACCTCCGCCAAACTCCCAGTGAGACGGAGCCGGGAGCGATCGAACTCGTGATCCCGGAGGGGTCTTCTGGCTCTTCTAAAACAGGTAACACACGCTTAATTCTCCGAACTTACTTTACTTTATCCTTCCACTTCTACCGTCTGGGGCGTCGTGGGGAGGGACAGTTGGCGGCCGACGGCTAATCTGGATGTCCCCTGGCCTTAGTTCCAGATTTTCTGTTCTCCGTATAATAGCCCTGCTCACCTCCATCAAAGTGTAGAAACACAAAATGTAAAAACGTAAAAATTTCAAACATGTTTATCGGAGCCACTCTCTGATTGGTCGAACCGCTAATTGCCATGCTGTCATTGGTTGAACTGCTAATTATGTTGGACAGTCAGGATCGACCTATTGTCAGTCCCCATTTGAAATGTATACGAGTTGCACATCTCTTTGGTACCTCGCCTAGGTAGTAGTACATGTATGTCCTCAGTCCTATCGGGCGCACAAGTATTCTAACACTGGCATTGGCTACATTCTATAGATGCTTACAAAGAACCAAAGAATGGATTCAAACTCCCGTGGTGGGCGTCGAGGATAGGTAAGTCATCTTTCATGTGTGCAATATTATGTTTATGAACCTTTGTTTCATTCTCACTAGAAATATATAGGTAGTTCAAAATGAGAGCAGATAACGACTTTCGTTAGGTTCTTAGCCGATCAAGAGTATCGTGAGTTGAGAGAGTTACATAGAGCTTTACACCTATAGCATAGTGCTGTTCACTGTTACGTTTTATACGTATGTTTATTTATTTATTTACTTATTTGCATATATCATTAAATCAAAAAGATGATTATCATAACAATAAAAACATGCAGAAACCTATGTGGTTTTTCGTGGTCCGCCCACCAAACTCGAGAACGCTAAATTATGAACGAATGTATTAAATCATACATAAATGATCAAAACTACATAAAAAATGGAGTCTAAATTATGCAATAATGTACCAAATAATATGAATGAGGAGCTTATACAAATGATGAGAATGTGTTCTGACATTGAACTTACCCACCTTCAGCCGGAGCTCTAGCGTGGTCTGCGAGCTTTGTGGCAGCGTTCTTCATCGTGCTGTACTCCCTGTCGTTCGGCCGCGCCAAGGCAGAGGCCTGGCTCGTCACGTTCATGACGTCATTCACCACTGACCTGTTCCTACTGCAACCGGTCAAGCTGATGGCGGCTGCTGTCGGCGTGGTGCTGGTACTTCGGGTAAGTTGGAAAAAAATTGTATTGGAAAATATCACTACGCCAGTGAATGGACCCAGAGGTTGTGATTCAGCCAGATTCTTAGTCGACAGAACCCAACTCAAACTCTAACCCAAACCCTTAAACCCTTACCCAAAATCATTACGCTAGTGAATGGAACCAAAGGTTGTCGTTCAGTCATATCCTTAGTCAACAATCACGCAAACCCTCACTCAAAAACACTACGCCAGTGATTAGGCCAACGGGAATGATTTGGTCATGTGATATCCTTCCACAAACCCATTTTGGCCGGGTTTTGTCAATTAAGGGGCCCTAATTAAGTAGGTAATTCGGTTGACAGTGTTCTCATAATGATAACAAGAGATTTTACGAACACCTGCTTGCTAGATGAAGTTTTTAAAAAACACACAAATTCATATTTATTTTCAGTCTGTCAGTGCAATATATTTCTCTATAGAACGTCCAGACGGTATTCATATGGGGTGCTGCTAAGTATTAAAGTAATCAACTTATTTCTTGTACAGAATACATATATAATACCTTACAAATAGATAACCATGTCCATTAAAACTTCAGAAACCCATGAATGACGACGACCTGCCCCCTGCTGCCACCACAGATGATGAAGAGTACCTTGACACTGTGCCTCAACAAGTAAGTGACATTTCAGTTCTATATGTTTCACCATGGACGTCCTTGGTAGTTTTACCAATCTCTCAACAGTCTAAAAGATGTGATACGATAATGTAAATTTCTATATGACTACATTCGTCACTTTTTGCAGTCGATGAATACACAATGGTACTGGGTACGGCGTATTTGTAAATTGTTTTTTGATGCCATCTGAGACGACCTACATGTAAACGAACATAATTTCTATTATTTCGTCTTACTGTACTGTTAAAATGTTGTCACCTCCATATTGCATGATTAAAATTGTTTCTCAGTATACGTACAGTCATCTAAATCAAGGACAACGCCTTTATGGTGGTTTGGGTATCCTATGCTGACCTCGTTATCATAATTCATAATACAAGGACAAGTGATTTATTTTTCTAAATATTACTTTAGATACCCTCAGAGAGGAAGGGAACAGAGTTGCCAGGCGACGACGTCCTTGCCGAGGACCGGGCCCGCCGTCTGCGGAAGAAGAAGGTCCGCGGCGCCCTGAAGGAGACTCTGCTGTACGGCATGTTCGTGTGCGTCCTCCTGCTGACGTCCTATGGCGAGCGGAGCAGTCTGGCGTACCACATGAACCAGGCTGTCCGCGGGTTTGTTGTGGACGGATCTGGAGGCACTGCATTCTCTGAGGTAAAGGAGGTACTTCTCCGTATCCAATTTGAAATGATGATGATGATGCTGTACTGCGTTCTGCAGCTCAGAGTTGTTGAAACAGCCTCTGTCTTCAGTCAGTCTTTCTTCATTTCGTTCCACTGTGTCGTCTTCTCTGCCTAAGCTCTCGGAGTTTCATGACTGTTCTTAGGTTTTCCATTCCATTCCAAGTCTGTCATTTGACATTAGTCTTTGACCTTGTAATACAAAGAAAGGCCATGAGTTAAACATCATGAGTTTGTGTTGTTACCACTCATCACTCATGTCAAGAAAGCTATGCCACGATTCTATTCTAATCTAATTTCTATTCTATTCTATTCGGTTAACTGATGAGTTTACGTCCTCATGCATTAATTTTCATGTTACTTCTGAGAAAACAGATCTTGCAGTTTACCTGAAACATTAAACATGGTCTGCTTTTTTGGTATCTTTTAGATGCCGAGCCCATTTCAATAATACCGAGCCCATTTGAAGTACTATGTCGCTAACAAGTTCATATTATTCTTTTGCAGATTTCCAACGTGACTTCATTTTGGCAGTGGGTGGACACCACTCTGATCCCTGCTACCCACTCCCCGCCGTGGTACAACCGTCAGGCTAGCAACCACAGCCTGCACCTTCCCGATCACATGACACATGTCATCGCTCCCCTGCGATTCAGACAAGTTCGCACCAGACAAGGTTGGTGATGGCCTTAATTATCCTGATATCGCGTAGCGTAATGGTCAGGGTGTTCGTCTCGGAACAAATAGGTACCGGGTTCGATCCCATGACATGCCCGATGTTGTGCCCTTGGAAAAGGTACTTTTCTTTACTGTACAGTGGAGTGACGCCTAACTCGTCTTTTGACTAATCTTTGATACTGTGTCCAAACACTGATGAGGCCACAGACGGATGTGCGCGGTGCCACCAATGTGATCTGCACATTTGCAGCTACGAACCGTGCAATTTTTTAAAACATACTTTTTGTCAGCCGCTAGTATGAATAACCTCCTGTTATTGTTTGAACTGTATACCAACACAACAAAGAATACTGGCAGAACTTCCAGCCGACATTTTTTCGTCAGGGTCGAATGACCACTCCACTTGGACACTTGGATTTACTAATATGTGACGTCACTAACATTTAAATCTCGATCGATCTTTCTTCTATGCGCAGTAAGGTCAGTTTAAAGCTATACTCGTGTTATCTCTATAAGAAGTTAAACTAATATTGTGTTTGTGCACTCCAGAACAACAGTGCACCATTCCGGATACCATGTTGAGTGTATCAGCCCGTTGCCTCGACGGTTTCTCCGTACTAAACGCTGATACTTCCAACTACAACGGCAGCTGGGATGCGCCAGCCAAGTCAAACCGTACCTTCCCTGACGACACTACCGCACAATCCCCGTGGCACTATGCTTACGGCAACATTGCGGATGGTAAGTCCGTTAGTTAGTTACTTCGTCACTCGTTTACAACTCTTGTTGCTAGAAACACATAGATGTGAATTGAGGTCATTTGGCCTTTCAGAAATCCGATCCGATATAGTTGAACTAACTGGCAATGACTGTTTCCATCAAGACTACAGAATTCAAACAACGATCTTAAGAGAAATTCAGTTGTCTTTTTTCGTTGAATACCTAGGGTTCGCACGTGTTGGAAAACATGGCACCTACGACACAGGTGGCTATGTAGCGACCCTCAACTGGACACTCGACCGGAGCATCGAGATATCTACCGACCTACAAACCAAGAACTGGCTAGACGTCAAGACCCGAGCGGTCTTCCTGGAGATGACACTGTACAACCCCCATGCCAACTTGTTCTCTGCGGTTGTCATGGTAACGGAGTTTAGCATCACCGGAGTCGTCTCCACGGCAACGGAGATGACGACCTTCAGGCTGCATCATGGGGACCAGGTGACCCTACTCGTCCTGCGAGTAGCCATGGCCTTGTTCGTGCTCTATTATCTCATCAAAGCAGGTAGGAAACTTTATACATGTAACGTAAACATTAAAGCTATAGAAATAACTGTTAGATGTATAGATGAATTTCTTGCCATTCTGTGGGTAAAGACGACAGGGCAACGTCAAAATACAAATACTGAATAAGTGACAAAAGTGAGTTTTCTCATGATGTATTCTACTGTAGATATAGTATGATTAAGATGCATCGTTCACTTTGCCCACTGCAGTGATGAACTTCAGCACACGGCCGCTAGAGTACCTCACCGAGGCGTGGAGCTGGTTGGAGATCTTCATCATCTTCAGCGCCAGCACAACACTCGGTCTGTACTTCCGGGCTCAAGGCGTGATGGACGACATTACCGGACACGGAGACCACGTGTTTGAGAGCTACCACCAGGCAGCCACGTGGTATCAGATGTACACTTATTTACTGAGCTTTCTGATTTGTTGTTCCTTCATCAAGCTCATCCGCTTGCTGAGGTTCAACAATCACGTCAATGCCTTGATGTATACCATGACGAAAACGGCAAAGCCTTTGTTTAATTTCCTTATCATGGCGAGCATCATCCTCACGGCGTTCGCTCTGGCTGCTAACCTTACCCTGGGTCTCAATCTGAAGGAGTACAGCACACTCCTGGCTACTTATGAGAACCTGTTTAGCATGATGTTGGGGAGTTTTTCCTTGCAAAGCTAGAGGAGGGCTCCGCATTTTTCGGACCGGCCATGTTCGTATTTTTCCAATGTACCGTCCAGTTTTTCCTCCTCACCATGTTTATGAGTATTATCATGGACGTGTACGCAGAGTCTCGTGAGGTCACCAATCCTGACCAGGTTCAGTTTGTGCAGTTCTTAAAAGACGAGATGAATGAGGCTGTCGATAAGCTTGGGTCTTTCGTAAAAAGCAACAAGATTGTCAGCCAGATCTAGAAAAGAATCCCCGAGTGACCCTGTTGGATCAGGTACAAAATGCAATGGCAGAGCTGGAGGAAGAAAATGCCATGGCAAGAGCTGAGGAACAAAAAGAAAAGCAGCGAAGGGAAAAGCAGCAGAGGGAAAGGCAACAAAGAGCAAGGCCGGTCTATTTCATCGGCAATGATGATGTGTAAAGCGTTTCTGCAATAAGGATTCATTCAGACTCACATTTCTACCCAAATTTTACAATTTCAAACCGAATCTGATTCAGAGCTCTTTCTATTTACTAACCTAAACGTCTAGCTTCATTCCCAACCTATATACTTACTGTACTGAGCTTAATTCACTTACTTCTTACTTCGGTCGATGATGATTCTTGAAGAATCCTATAAATGCAGTTCCATGGTTTGGAAATGTGACCCTATCATAACATTACAACAATGTGCGTGAGTGTAAGACCAATACAAGAAAACTCACCATAGATGAATTATATCATGGACTTATCATCAATTACTCAATTGATACTTAACATCGAAATATACATGGATTAATATGACAGTGGCATATATATATGACACAGTACAAAATCAAACTATACCCTCAGTGATGCCAGAAATGACGTCATTGCAAAACCAAGATAACAGAAATTCCTAAAGAACATGATATGACCAAATGATAACGGTTATTCTAAGATCAGGGCGTACCAGGGCGTTGGACTTGGGCCAATTTTTCAAGTTTTTAATATTTTTTTTAGTACAGAAAATTTGTACTGCAAATATTTGCACGATGCTTTTTGAAATTTTGGTCAAATGTGGCTACTGTCACAAGACTGACATCTATAGATGTGTCAGAACATTGAGTTTATCTGCGCCATAGCTTTTATATTATTCCTACTAATAAACTATTTATACGAACACATTTTCTTGGATAAAAAAAGCAAGCAAATTCAAGCCATCTGGCACTGCCATCAAAGTACAAGAAATATAAATACAAAGGTTTTGTGTGACAAATAGATACACCCTGGAGGTACAAGGAGATATTTTGTTAGAAGGTGTTAAAAATCCATTTTTGATTTGTAATGCACACTAGCAAAGTCAAGTTTCCAATAATCATCTCTAGTTTTCAGCAAAACATATTAGAAAAAGACAGTCTAAACCTATTACTCAATTCTGGATTTCCTTTTCTGGTCAAAACTTAATACATGAAATCGGCTATTACGTATATTGTACGGCACTTTTGGGCATAGAACAGGTCATAGCATAATTTGGTGAACATCTATCTACCTAAACGCTTCAGGATTGTCTGGGCAATATTTATATTTGGATAATATGTTTGACAAATTGCAACAGAATGCAATGAACATCTAGTATGAAATTGATATGGAGGATCAATGCAGGATGAAATTGGTACTCCCTGATCTTAGAACAGCCGTACTGCATATCGGCTGTGACATTATTATCATATTTAGTAAGTTATCAGATGTTTTCGTCTTGTGATATTATGCATGCAAATACTATATTGTAGCGTTTAGAATATTTGAATATTGAATGTTTCGTGTGTTGTAAGTGTAATATTTTGCTTAACCCTATTCAGACTTGGCTTTTTTTGTCAATCTGGTGCCGGTCGGGCGGGGGTTGAGACCCGCCCCTGTAACTCTTAATTTTATTGAACATGTTGAAATTATTGCAATAAATTGGTGTCATTATGACGTTACATGGCGTCATTTATGCAAACCTATTGGCTAAAACCATCAAAATAACCTTTCCTGTAAAACCCAAGGATACACAACAAAACATTAATAAAAAGGGTGCAAGTGTATGATAGGTCTGAATAGGGTTAAAGTTTATAAATACATCTATAAACATACACATACTTCTGGGTCATGGATTGAAAAATTACCTGCTTGGCTGAACGAGGCAAGACACCAGGCCGGAACATAAATCTAAAAAAGCAAACAAGAAACACACAAAAACAAACAAACAAGCAAACATAACCTTTTACTAAAGTCTGACAAATATATGGTGAACGGCAAAAGAGGTATCGAATACATAAGTACTTTTACGAACATTGTCATTGTTGCTGTTTCGTTGCCTATTCAATGTATATTTCTCTAGTTTGATTAATTGGTCATAAAAGTATAGAATATCCGCAGTCTATTGACCCAGAAGACAGTGTTTTGTTCTATGAACCTCTGTGATCAATCATTTATTTTTCGGCAGAATTGCTGATAACCACTATAACGTCCGTGATATAATTGATGTAAAGGACAATGTAAAGGCCGAAATGTTCGCGATTTAAGAAAATTTTACATATGTGCACGTAAATGGAAACGCAACAAGGAGTTTAGGAGAAAGCCAGGGTAAAAGATTTAAAAAAACTCGATAAAGATGATACATATACATATCACAGCACTTCTACTCGAAAGTTAATGATTATCTCAGAGTTCATAGCACATTTTGATTTCATAGAAACTGTAACTGGTCTAACCTTGTGACTCTGTCATACTACCCCTTAATTACTACTGGGGTGACGCTACAGTTCCAACATCGCTTAGTAATGCACGCACAGCTCTGTGGGAAATAGGATAAAAAGGTGTTTATCTCAGGAATTAAAACCTGCCCTCAAATGACAACATGAAATCTTACCCTTAAATCCTAACCTATGATGTCAACTGCAGATCACATACTAGTAACGTTACATTGGCAAGACGTTCTATACAGTTTTCGGCTATTCTGCAAATACAACCCCACCATCATCACCACCATCATCACCACTAACCAGAGCACTTGTTGTTTTGGCATCAAACGGACAGCTTGTGATCATCCCACTTTCTCATGGGGGATGAAAAAGCCCCCAAGATGGACAAATTTAAAAGAAATTGAAATGTCAATTTAAAAAAAAAATCTGCCACGATCCCCGCGTCCCTGAAGAAATACTTTTCAATGTTTTAACCATTTTGGATCTAAGCGCATGCGCCAACTGTTGCGTCACCCCTAGCAACTAGGTAACCAATGTGTCTCCTTTTCACATATTCGTTTTCGTTACTAATTAACATATCTATATGACGTCTTGATATGCAATTTTGCTAATTAACGACTTTGATTTAGTCTCATTTTTAATATGCTGTATTGATTTATGTTTCCAATTTTGGTTTACCTTTGATTCTTATATTCTAACTTAAGTTAGGTTATTGGATTGTTTGGTTTCTCGTGACTATAGAATGCTGTGTAACGTAGTATACATTCTATTACTTAGAAGGGAGCCCAAAGAACAAGCCCTGTAACTTTCGAACCATCCTTAACCAGCTATGCTATTTCGTTACTCACAATACGTTGTATAGATATGTTATATCTGTGTGCAAATAAATACTGTTCCATCACCTATGTCTCATCGTCTCGTCAAAGCATGCCCTAATTTGCCCAGTAATAATAGCATTTCTAAAGCATATTAGAACTTCCACAGGAAGTGATTATATAAATAAGGTTCTCATTTGCATGAATTGGAGTTCATGATCTTCCTTACGTATATTCCAAGCAAAGAGGGCTTTAATAGATTTTCTCGTGGAGTATGCAAATAAGGCGACCATTTGCATAATTGATGTCTAATGATATTCCCCTTTAGCAAACTTTTACGCCAGGAATGTGAATTCCTATTATAGTGATATCATGACGCGTGGTATCTAAACGACTCCACACAGTATGTACACATCGTGATAACTATTTTCACTCAAGTGGTTGCGCAGCCTGGCCCCATTGTGAAATAGACAAATAAAGATCAACGCATCCATACATGTGTATGTTATGTAATAACACGTGGATGCGTATCCACAGACAAAACGTATATTAATATATAAATACATGGAGGGACATCTTTATTTATGTATAAATGCATTGACGTTACCACATCATACACCCTAACACATATGTGTCACTGAATCATCTAAAATATGCCCTGATAATGCGGTTGAATTACTTCCGATATATTCATTTCTAAAAGAACGACACAAATACGAAAAATTCACCAAAATAAGTAAAAGACAAACGAACAACACCATACTTTGTCCTTTGCTCTCTAGTTCTGAGAAAATAACAAGATTACAATCAGTACGTTGTTAGATTGGCGGGTACTTCTATCACTATACCAGGATGTGATACGTCAGTGATACATGCATGTAGTGACCAGATCGGTAAGGACACTTACAGACCAAGCGAGATCGAGACAGGGCATTGGGACATCTCATTACCACAGGTAAGAAAAGGTAGTTTAAGTCAGTTTTTCATGTCTTTCAGATGTTTTTGTGTGCAGGTAACTTGAGGATAAATCGCTCCATTGTCACCCCTTTAGGTCATATCGATCGTTTGTCCTCGTTTGAACCGGTTCAACTGTCCAACAACCATTTAGAAGGACAGGTAAGTTTCAGTCAATCAGTCATCCAGTCAACCACCTTATCATCATCACCATAACTACCCCGGGAACATTAACGAAAATATCGACGGTTGTTCCTGGAAACATGCGGAAAATAAGCTCAGTGCGGCGGCTTATTTTACTGCAAGTCGTCGCCATGCTAGTCTTGACAACATATCTACATTTAGTGAAGACGCCAGGTGACAGGGAAACGTTACAGAAACCACTGAGGGCTGAAAATCCTTACGGAAATGTCGGGTACGGTGGAAAATGGAGTCCCCCTGCACGAAATAGGTCCAGCTCCTCGGAGAAAATCGCCGTCTTGGTGACGTTCAGAGACCGAGAGAAACACCTGGATATATTCCTCCGCCACATGCA